TCGTGCGTCAGAATTTTACATTGGACGTCTCACGCTTCGCGATGCAGAAACACTAACGTGGACCATTGCAGATGCGAGACTCGGTGCCGCGGCCGGCCGATAAGCTTTAGCAGGGTTGTTTGATAACACCTCCGCAGTCAACCAAAACTGTCAGGTTCTGTTCTGTCAGGTTTAGAAAACTCTGACAGGTTTCGTACGGCGAGCACCCAACTCAGCGGCTAAGCGGTCGAACTCCTCCGAATGCGTTGCACACAAATACGTCCAATCTTCTTCAAGGCGACAGAATCCGAAAAAACGATGCAAGGCGAGGCAGCGTCAAGCACTTCCTCATGAGCCAACAGGAACCAATGAGATGAAAAATTGGAAATAGGAAAAATGAAGAAGAGGAGGAAGTGGAAGAGGGGGAGAAAAGAGGAAAAGGAGAGACAGGCAAAAGCACAAGAGCAAAAGAAGTGAACTCAGCAAAAAAAAAAAAAAAAAAAGGTGACATAAGGCGTATTAGTAATTACCAAAAAAGTTGAAAAAACATGAAAGACATGGACGTAATCGTAAGCCTCCGGCGGCACTCCCTTTGGACGGGAGCCATAACTTTTTTTTTTTTCTTTTTTTTTTTCCCCCACCGAAAGCCCAGGTATGTGCAAGTACTCAGGGCATGCTCAGCTATCTGCCGAAGTTCTGAGCCCAACTACATACAGAACGGCATTCATCTCACTGCAATCACGTCCAAAGCTGAGTCAAAAATGTCCTAGTGTGAGTACTCCATACTACTCCCCAAGATAAATCTACGCTGTGCCCTAAATCCCACAATAAATGTCGAATTCCGTTGCTCATACGATGGCATAGTGCTAAGAAAGCTAAATTGAACAAACTGAATATGAACCAATGAAAATAACAACTTAAGTAAAAAACAAACAAATAAACGCGATAAAAAGTCAGACTAAGTTCACAAATTTTGACAAAAAAGAATACTCAATAAAACAGTTTTAATGTACTTTAAATACAGCCATTCATTTGATAGATTTGTATCATCAATTTTCTTAATTTTTCTCGCCTGGTGGTATTACAATTTTCTACGTACATCACAACTTCACTGAGTGCCATGCATGCATATGCTACTCGAACGAGCGCTCTGCATACATATACTACTCAAATGAGTGTTATATATGCATATGCTTTTCACGTGCAACACAAAGAAACGGTCTTCCCCAGCAGTTAATGTATTTCCACCTCCTGTGTGAACATGCACACGGCATTTTCACCTCGCAATGCTCGCATGAGTAACTACAGTCTTCCCCCGAA